TGGGGACTTGAAAATCTGATGTCATTCTGTTATCAGTCAAAAGTTAAGAGATGAACCTGGGCGAGACTCTCTGGAAACTTCTCTAGGAGTCCAGATAAAACTGGAGTGCAGGAGAGGCACACTGTCCTTTTCCTCTCGGAGAGTGTCTCCTTTCCCTTTTCTTATCCCTTCAGTAAACTCATGCCTGCCACTTTGAGCAACATGTCTGAAATCTTCCTGACTTGACTGTAAAATTGAGCTTTAAAGCAGGACGAAGGACATCTTCACACTGTCTCAATGTCCTAAAAGGCCCCAGCCCTGTTACACTTGTATTGAAAAGCATTATCTCCTACACTAGTCTTTTTTTTTTTAATAAAAAGATTAATAGACATGTGGGGGTCCAGTACTTTCTTTAATTTTGCCTTTACTATAGAGAATATAGGCTAAAATAGATTTGAAATTTCAGTGTTTGTGGTTATGCAGTAGTAGATATGCTAAATCAGCTAACAGCATATCACTGCAGATCCAGTTATAGGTGGAATGGATGCATGTTCCCTTTTGTTATTCAGATTTGGAAATGTTACTATCATTGTTGCTATTGTGCTATTTAGGAAAGCCAAAATAGTTCAAAGGCAAAAATGAGTAAAAACACTGGGTTTTCTAAAAATATATTGAAGAGAGAAACTCATTGGGAATTAATCATTCTACTCCTATATAACTAACTCCTACTTGACCAAATAATTCAACAAAAAGCACAGGTATACAGAATATCAAAATCAATCAACCACTCAAAACAAAACAAAAAGCTAATATCTTCAGAGAGAAAACCAAAGCAGATATTTTTTGAAGGAAGTAGATACTTGAAAAAAGAGATGACATGAGTTAAGTTTCCTGTTTTATGGCAGTTACCCAGAGAGAAGGCCAAGTTCAGAACCATGTTGAGACACATAAAAGTCTGATAGGAAGCCTGAAGTCTTATGGACCGAAGCATCAGGTGATGCATCAAGGTTGACTGTAATTGAGTAGGGAAATGCTGGAAAGGAGAAAGCTAGCAAGGGATAGAATAAAATTCCACTGATAAGCTATGTCACAATCTCTAGCTGTTCTCTAAACTACACCTTTGTAGGGCAGATTACAAGCAGATCAACTATAAAAAACATAATACTTGCTGAATGAAGATTTGAGCTGCACTCAAGTAAAAGAGCTTCTAGTTTGAGTTCAACCAAGTTGTCCCTTAATGAACACAAATGAAATACAAAAATAAACAAACAACATTGAAATAATCACAATCCTCAGAGAAACTAAATAGATTCAACTGTTTCTCCACTGCATAACATTCACAATATCCATGACAGAGTCCCCAAACAAGTCAGTGTGATGAAGAAGAAAATGTGTTCCATTTTCAAGAAGGAGACAAGACAATACTACAAAACCCAGACAAGGGTATTCAAGCAATTATTATAACTCTACCTGTGTAAAAAAAAATGCAAAAATGATATACACTATAAATTTTTTAAAAAGAAAATCTTATAGCTTGTGAAGAAATGAAGATTTTAAGAATGTGGAAAATTTAGAACAAAAGAACACAATATCTTAAATTTAAAACCAAAAAAATAAAAAGACCATTGCATATATTTGACAACAGGATGGAGATGGCAGACAAGGTATGACTTTGAAAACAGATCAATGGAAAACATCCAGTTTGTAGAAAAAAGATTAAAAATATATTGAAAATAATTAAACAGAGCCTTGGGAAGCTGTGAAACAATATCAAAATATCTACCTTTCCTGTAATTAGAGTCTTAGAGGTAAAGCAGTCAGGAGGAAGGGAGAAAGAGGGAAAAGGGCATAAAAATATTACACAAAAATGATTGATAATTAATTTATAAAAAATAGAGATTAAAAACTTAAGTAAGTCTGCAACCCTCTCCCAAAAAATAATTATTAAAAAAGTACACTTTAGCATGCAAAAGTCAAGTTGCTAAGCATACACAATTAAATGAAAAAATTAAAAGTATAAAAAAATGATGCATTAGGTAAAGGAAATATTAAATTTCCACTGAACTCTCATTAGAAGCACTGATTAAAATGATAGTAAAATTTAATTAATATTTTGCATTGTTATGTGACAGGAGGCACATTTGCGACTGTCTACAAGGATGAAGCAGATAATATAAATGAGGGAAGCAACTGGGGTATGGGTGTATACATACATATTGGCTCAGTGATAGGAGTGATGGAAGTTCAACAATGGCAGATTACTGTGTTATTGGAAATCAAGGGCAGTGTCAACATGTTTGTGTTTCTCAAAGGAAGAAAACAAGCCACTCTTGAATGTAAATTTCATGATGTTTAGATATTGACTTCAAGAATAGCTTACAATATTTTGTGGCCAAACAAAACATCTGTGAGATGAATGAAACAGAGGGTAGGTAATATGTGTCTTTAAGTAATGAACAACAAAGCATCAGATGAAAGAAAACGACCAGAATTTTAAGTAAGACAGACTGATCTACACTTTCTACCATTTATCATACAGTATGAGACTACTTTAAAAGAAATTATATCAGTGCTTACCAAAGCCAGAGATGATCACATTCAGGTTAAATAGTTTGTTCATTATACATGCACTTTTGCTTTTTATATTAAGAAATAAGGAGAGCATTATTCTAGTTTTTTTTAATTCAAGGAGGGAGTATGGGGATTGAACTCAGGGAAACTCAACCACTGAACCAAATCCTCAGCCCTGTTTTGTGTTTTATTTAGAAACAGGGTCTCACTGAATTGCTTAGCATCTTGATTTTGCAGAGGCTGGCTTTGAACTCCCAATCCCCTGCCTCAGCCTCCTGAGCTGCTGAGATTACAAGTGAGTACCACCACCCCCAGCCATTATGCAACTTTTAATATAAAGAAAATTACTATATATTTATGAGAATATGAAATATAAAAATAATAAGTGTTTCTCTTACAGATCTTAGAAGAAAAAAGTCTGGTACTGAATTTACAGTAAATATCTAGGACAGCTGAAGGTTGTCTAAAAATGTGCCTTGATTAATGCTTTCTCCTCCAATAGAACCCACGTGAAATGTTTTCATGATGTCTTACTCTTTTGTCGCATGGAAGTAAGACCATGACCAGAGAACTTTATTTATTCGACAGTAGTAGTAGCTTGCTAAAATTTATTTTTTCTTTCTTGTAATTTTAAAACCGTATGAGGCTGATTGGTTATCTATTCTGTAGGTAGTAAAAGATACATAATTTTGTTTGATTTCAAGCCCGGAGATTCCTGAAAGGGGGAAGCATTCAGAAGGGACTACTGCACAGCTAAAAAGGAATTTCAGTGTCACAAAACTAGAAGACAGTTTCTAAGTATTTTTTTTTAGTTCAAACTATAACTTAAGCTGTAAATATTTTTTTCAATGCAAAAATACATTTCCCTCCAATACATAGAATGACCATTCTATGACCATTCTATATTTTCTGGCTTCATGTTCATATAGCTTAAGGAATAAGAATTAAGGAATGACCATCATATAATGTAAGCTGGAAAAAATGGCACACACGTGCACTATTAATTATTAAAGAAGAAAATCTGAAGAGCAAACAAGATGAATGGTTCAGACAGAAGGTGTCTTTTGTACTGTTAATGGAAAAGTGTTTCTCTTGCCCTCTGCTCCCCTGCTGTTTCTGCAGCCCTTTCCACTCCATTTCTTGTATATCCCTTCATACTTAAGGTTCTCTGTCACATTCTCATCACATCCCTATCTCTTGGTTTCCTTTCAAACATGCTGAGAAGTTCCCTCTAAGGGTAACAAAATCTCCAAAACCTGCCCTTTGCCCTACTATGCCCATCCCATACCCCTTTTATTTCATTCTTATTTTCAAATGTTTTGAGAATTTTTAACAACAATACTACATCTATTTCAATTCAGTAGAGGAAGAGTGGAGTGCATTCTCCTCTAAAATTGGGCTTTGAGACTTAGAAATGGCGATGTAATATCAGGCAAATCACTTCACCTGTGAGCCTGGTTGTTTCTCCAAAGCAATGGAGAAAAGTTGCTACTACAACTTGCTTTTGAGAATACAAGAAGATGCATTTGTGTTTTACCTTATTCTGACAATAAATTTGTGAGGTAGACATATTTGGTGAGTTATTAAACTCTACCTGCTCAACAGTGTTTTTGTTCATTGATGTGTGCTGTGTGTGTTTAGTTAAACCTTATGAAAAAACATAAAGGGTAAAAAAATAATGTTAACCTCAAAACTTTTTATATTCCTAGTAGTAAACAAAAGAAACATGAAATAGCAAACCACTTAGGAAGTGGTTTTAATTCTGCTTTGGGGAATTCATGATAATCTGAGAAGATGCCATAGGAAGAGGAAAGACAGAGGGCAGGCAAGACTTCCAGCTATAGTCTCATTTGAAGATTTCACATTTTGTCTAGTTTTGATTAATATTTCATTTGAGTAAGTGATTCCATGACCTAAAAACCAATATAAATCCCCAAACAAGAAAGACCTATAGCTAGAGACTTTGTTTTCTGCTCTGAGATTTCACTGTTGGCTGGACTAGAATTTTAAGGTCTTCTCAAAACTGACAATGTATTTGGTGTGTGTTTGTGGTTTGTGGTGGCAAACCACAAACACTTGCAAACCTAACATAGGAGTTTTTATCTATTGTCATTAATTTTCAAATTGCATAAAGCCTATGCATCACATTGGTTATACCATATGCAATGGTTTGTTTAGAATGCTTAGACTGATCATGAGTCTACAAATATAAAATAAATTTAGTAAAGATGGTGGCATATTATGCCTATGAATGCATTTTGCTCTTATGTTCAGTTACTGCCAAAGATAAAATACAACAAAAATATTGGAACTAAGTCAATTTTTATATTAATAATAGTTAATTTAAGTGGTTCTATTAACTAATAGAAAAATAGAACAAATATCAACTGGGATAAATGTTAATTTTATTCCTTATAGTGAAATCTCATCATGTATGGCTATTTACATACCGGATCTTCTGGATTGTATTGAATAACATATTCTATCTGTCCATTTGGGCCATCATCTATGTCAGTAGCTCCATTGTCTCCTGAAAATCCTGTAAATACTGTGGTGCCAACTGGAGTGAGCTGAAAGGAAAAGAAAGGAAAAACTCAATTCTCATTTCATCAGTTGAACATCTAGTATATAGCATAAAAACCAGCCTTTAGTTACACAAAGGAAGAGAATAGACATCTGCCTACAACCACAGAAATAAAATATTTTTAAAAAGCACACTTGCAAACCTAACATAGGAATTCTTAAAATGTCCGAAATTTCCAAATTCCTGATCCTTCCTTCAAGTAAAGAAACAGAAGGATTCAGAATAAAGCACATTTGGCCCAATTTATACCCTTTAGCATCTTAATACCTGTGGAGAAAATGCATCTGTTTTTTCTTGAAAAACCTTGAAGCATTAAGTTATCTACATGATAGAATTTCAATCGTACAAGTAAGTTTCTTTATTTTAGTTTCAAAAGCCTTTTCAGAGACAGCCCAAAATCCAGGTTAAGTATATGCACATGGCAAGTTTGGGGAAGATAAATTGTAATAATGACTGCCCTTTTAGAAGAAGAAGCTATGAATTTCTTCTGGGCTTCTAATATTGGTTGGATAAGAAACAATTTTATGACAGGAGTTGGAGACAGTCACATCTTTTTTACCTATTTTTTTAATGAAAAGAATAACAGTAAAACAATGTATTTTGGCATGTAAAACCATGTAAGACATTTGGCCTATTAATGTGGAGATCCTAGACTCTCCACAGAACATCACTGTTATTTTCTCTTACAAATTGTCTTTGTACAAATTGTCTTTGTACGATATATTTTTGTCAATTCTCCTTTCCCATTCCTCATGTTTTAGCTCATTAATTACTTGTTAAGTATGTTAGTTTGATATCACTTACTACAATACCATTCCTAATATAGCCTTTGCCACTATGAGTAAAATTATAGTGACCTTTTTTTGTTTGTTTATGCATTTTACACTTCTGTATACATTATGCTGTCCCAGTTGATGAACACATTTTAGCAATAAACATAAGCTCTGTACTTCTACAGCGCAGAGACCTAATTTTTTTAGGTTTGTTGTGTTAATTATTGAATGGGATTCCCTCATGGAAAAATACTTTAAGAAGGAAAAAAGAGATCATCTAATTTACTAACATTTTTTAGGGGTTATAAATTCAAATGTCTACAGAGATCAATCAGGGGATAAAAATGTGGAAATCAAGTCTGATGGGAAAAGTAAACAAATTCCCTGTCTAATTTGATAGCTGCTACTTAGCCCTACAAAATTCTTACCATAATGGAATATGGAGCAAAATTACTAGGTCATCTAAAATTCTAATTTTATAGGAAAATTATTGATTCTCAAGTTGGCACTAGATTTTATAAAATTAAACTATGAATGGACCAAACACATTTTTATTGGTCTAACAACTACACTAGTTTGTAAATTTTTATTTACAAAAACAACATAACTATGATTAAAGAACTAAACCATAACTATAAGGAAATAGGATATTTATAATGTTATTCTAAGTTAACTAAATGGCTTCCAAATTGTCATTTTTATTTATTTTTAAATGCATAAAATGTCAGAAAAGATACCATTCTCTTCTATAAAAAAAAAATCACTCATTCTTATGTGGCTATGCTTTTAGGTTTTTTTGCTTCTATTTATTTGACAAATGAAAATTCTGTGAGTATGTATACACACACACACATACACACATATATATGCATATATGTACTTATTATGTACAACATATTTTAAAATGTGTATGCATTGTGTATTATTTAAACAATGCTAATTAACATAGCTATACTTCAAATACTTTTCATCATTTTGTAGTGACAACAATTAAAACTTGATTGATCAGCAATTTTTAAAAATCTATTAAACTGTAGTCAGTCACTATGTTGTACAGCAGACCTCTTAAACTTATTTCTTCTCCTTACTTAACTGGAATTTTGTATCATAGTCATTATTATACTCAATGTCTATGAATTCAATTTTTTAGATTCCACACATGAGTGCTATTTCTCTTTCCATGCCTGAATTATTTCACATCACATAATATCTCCCAGGTTCATCCAGATTTTTAAAATTATGAAAATTAAAATGATTGCTACCAGATGTTTAATAAAATATTTAATCAAAGATTTTGTTGCCAAAGCAAAAAAAAACATCATGGGGTTGAACTAAATAAAAAGAATCAAAAAATGCTAAATCAAAGAACAAATAAAACAAGAAACCAAAAAATTGAACAATATTGTGTCTGGAAATTCTGAAAACAAGTGTGCCTGTATCCTTCAATCTACTTACTGAGCCTTCAGGTACCATTAGACCACTTTCACATTAGAGCCAGATTCTGGAGTCAAACACTCAGTGATACAGTGGGTATCATAGGGAAGGAATAGGAGATCCTGGAGGAACTCAGGTCACATTTAAGAATATTAAAGGTCCTGGGGTCCCAGGTGGACTGGCGTCAGGGAAGCAACTGCTTTTCAACAAAAAGTGAGCAAAAGGGTTCCAAAGACAACAGAGGTAATTTTCCCGATTTAATAAATTCTGCTAGCCTGTTTAGTATTACCTTAAATGACAATTTGCTATAAGATTGATATTTTTTATATCTACTCACTATTACTAAAATCACTTTTTTCCTGTTTTTTTTTACTTTAAACAATATTTATGATTAGAAAAAAAATATTTCAGTGGAAAGCTTTCAGGGCATCTTTGCCAGGCAGATGACCAGTTTCTCTGTTCCTTAATGTTTTGGTAAGTCTCAGGTTTAGTTTATATTTTCTGAAATGCCTTCTCTGTGAGGAATGATGATCAGCTTGCCTGATTCTGTTACTTATTTAGTTGATGTGTTTTGCCACAAATAATTGTATACAGCTATACAGCTATTGGAAGTATATAAACTACACTGATGAATTCAAAAACAAAAATTTTAAAAAATCAAAATGAAAAATTAATGTCCTTTAAGAAGAAGCCAGTAATAAGATTTTTTACCATGAAGAAATTATAAATATTTGAGGAGATGTTTAGCCTTACTTAAATATTATGCCATGTAAACATTTATCTAAACATCACATAATGCTCCATAAATATGTACAATTTTATGTTTTAGGTATTATTTTAAAATGTTTAATTTTAAAAAATTGCTTATATTTCTAGATTTGATGAGAGATTTAGTTTTGATTTATAATACTGAATTGATATATTTTGTCTCAAAATTAAACAATTTCTCTTTTTTATAAAAAAGTAAGAGAAGTTAGAATGCAAACATACAAGATGGTGACAATTTCTGAGTTTACTTTTCAGGTATTTTGTGAAGAACAGTTCCTTAATACAACTCAAAAATTATTAGAATATTCCAAAAGAGAGTACTTCAATCTTACACATAAAAAATCCTCACAGAATTTTTGTATTCATTGTTTGATATGAATCCAGGTTATTTGTTATCTTATTAGATGTAGTGGTTAAGTTCCATAACATCAACACAAACATTGAATTAGTGAGTACTAAACCTAGGAGCCTTGATAAATACAGTAATGGATTCTGTAAATGTCTAGTTTGAAAATTTTTGTCAACTGATCAATGCATAACCTTGTTTTTTAAAAAGACATTCAATATATATTTTGGATTCATTAACTTCCATCTCTGAGCTATCAGCACTATAATTCATGCCTGAATTAAGCTTATCTAACCCATGTATTTTCTGCTTGAAGCCTATTACAGTCTTGTGTTAGGAACACTTGACAACCCATCAGCAGTACTTTAAGGGGCCATTTCAAACAACAGGATCATGACCACTACCACCAACAGCAACAACAATAAAGACCACAAAAATGTAGAAAGATGGCACTACTAAATTACAAATAGTATAACTTCATGAAGCATGAGATTTTAAGAGATGGCAGAACAGAGATTTATTTCACTTTAAGTAGAAATGTGTGCAATTGTTGACAAAATTCTCGCCAGTCTGTGCATATCTGCAAATGACTGCAAAAGTTTGGCAAGAATTAATTTTGTAGTTACAAATAAATTTTTGTTAGTAGGACAATTTGCATATAAGGAGTCTGAACAATGAGAATTGGCTATATGTAACAGACAAAACTAGGTTTTTATTTGAATTCTGGCTAAAAAATGCAATAAACTAGAAATTATCAGACTTAAGTTTGACTTTTGTCCTGTATTGCTTAGCTATAACACCTGTTTTCAATTTTTTTACATTGATAGATAAAATTTTATGTATTTATCATGTAAAATATAATATTTTGGGGCAGTTAAACATTTTGCAAGGATTAAATCTATCTAATAACAAATATATTAACATACATGCTTATAATTTTGTAGCAAAACATTAAATAACCATATTCTTTGAATTTTTCAACAGCATAGGATACTCTAACTAACTATGGTTCCAAACTTTACAATAGATGGATCTCTTAAACATACTCCTCCCATCTAAATGTAAATATGGGGGAAAACTCTAAGAAATCAGTCTTGGCAATGAGTCTTTGGATATGATCCATGAGTGTAAGCAACTAAAGGAAACTATACAGCTGGGATTAGAATATACTAAAATGTTTCTTTATAATAAAAAAAAACTGAGTAATGAAACAAGTTACAGAATGGGGAAGGATCTTTTCAAATTACACATCTGATAAGCAATTAATATCCAAACTATGTAAGGAAGCTACAACTCAGTAGAAAGAAAGCAAATGTTTCTCATGTTGGCTGGGATACTATTCGTAATCGTCACGCTATGAGACCAATACGTCTCCATAAACTATTGATTAGATTTTTTAAATTGTTATAAATTCAGTCATAAATGGATAGAAAATCCTGTCATTTCCAAGAGTAAAGATGAAGCTGGATGTCACTGTGTTGAGTGAAAAAAAGCCAGGCACAAAAAGACAATACCACATGATCTTTACTCATTTATAGAATCTAAAAAACTGATTTCATAGAAGCAGAAAATAGAATGAAAGTCAACAGATTGTTGTGGTTAGGAGCAGCAGATTTAAGGAACTCTTATTCAAAAACGCATGCAATTCTAATTAAATAGGAAGAA